AGGTATTAAACTCATTAGTTTATAATAATTATCACGTAAAAAAAGAACAACATTTTAGTATTTTGAAAACCCTAAAGAGAAGTCAGAGAAAATAGTGCGTAGAGAGATTTTCTTTTTTTTATTTATGTGCGAGATTTAGTAACTTTAAGTGGGGGATTTAGCACATATTTTATTTGATAGTACATAAGGTCAAACAAAGTTAGAAAACTTTATTAATGACTCAAATATTTACATGTTTTGAATATATAATATAATATTAATAAATATTTACAAAACACAACATATAAAGAAAAAAAAAGACATTAAAAATAAAAATTAACCTGATGTGAACGCACGTGCACCTTTCTGATTGAACCAAATGTGAAAAACAATTCAAATGATAGTGCATAAAAATTAAGGGTGAATTGAAAAAACATTCATGAAAAGAGCACTTAATTAAAAAATGGACATCTTACTTGTTTGTCATGCTAGTATGGCCACCCATCAACACTTACTTGCAACTAAAGAAAACTTTCTCATATGTACCAAAATTACCCATAACTTTTTGAAACCTCAATTCACCACAATTTCATAATTTAAACCATAATATAGCCATAATTTCACTAATTAACCAATTTTGATCCATAACCCAATTTTGACAGTCAGCGCCGGTAACCGACATAGACCCGATCACAGTCTGGTTCCTAAACCGGAACCATACCGTGGAGGTTCAGGGCTGATTCAGAACCGCCATGAATGAACCGCTAATCCGGTTCGACGGTTAATTGAATATTTCAAATTATTATTTTTAATTATTCTTATTAGTATATAAATGATTTAAAATAAATTAAAAACATATTATAATTGCAAAACCTTTAAAAATTATTATATTTAAAAAAAAAAAAATTTACTTGCAAAAAAATTAAAGATAATTATTTAGACTTGTAATAATATTTATACTAGTAAAACCATTGAAACAAATTTATTCTTAAAAAAATTAAAAAATATTATATATACTAGTAAAACCATTGAAACAAATTTATACTTGTAAAACATTAAAAAGATAAATAGGTGAAAGAAAGAAAAAATAAAAGGGCTTGCCGGCTGCTCCGGTTAACCAGACTGTGGTCAAGTATATGAGCGTCGGTCTCCGGCGTTTACATTTTCTTTTGAAAAGTTTTTTTTTAAACTTTTTATGTTCGGTCGTTACCGTTGATCGCCGATCTCCAACATTGACTTTTTTTCCCTGACGTTTGACCACCATAAAATAATATTATTATAAACACAATATTATTACTGTGTTGGATTGCAATATTACTGTCTCAGGCAGTAGCATTGTTGTTAACACAGAAATATTATTGTCTTGGCGAGCAATATTACTGTGTGAGATAGTGATATTGTTTTTAACAATAATATTGCTGGGTTAATATTAATATTACTATCTCATGCAGTAGCACAGTAATTGGTTGTGTAAAACAATTGAAAAAATAAAGATAAAAATATTTGTAATCTTACTGCATCGTCCAGTCAATGGCTTGAAAATAAAATGGCGAATGGCAAAGAGGCCCATGACAAGGGACTCAAATGCACATAGGTTTTGACAAAAAACAGTCTTGCAAATAAACATATACCCATGTCTTTTGCCTAAAATATCCTCCATAGTATAATTTTTATCAATTTCATCCATTATAGTATAAATTTTTTCAATATTACACATTGACCCCATATTTGAACAAATATATCACATTAACCCCCATTTTCATATTTTTTTGTAAAAATAATTTTTACTTTAGAAAATAATTTTTTTCCGGCCAGATTCCGGCGTTGACTGGGCGGTTCACCGGCATTGACTTTTTTTTCTCTCTCTAAATTACTGTATTAACAACAAAATTATTGTCTGAAATAGTAATATTGAATACCAAAACAGTAATATTACTAATATTATTGTTCCAAACAGTAATATTACTAATATTACTATCCCAAACAGTAATATTATTGTTTGGGACAATAATTTTAGTAATATTACTGTTTGGGACAGTAATATTATGAATATTACTTTCCCGAACAGTAATATTACTAATATTATTGTCCCTAGCCGTAATATTATTGCATGAGACAGTAATATTACGGTCGGAGACAGTAATATTACGGTCGAAGACAGCAAACGTGCAGGTCAAGGCGATAAAATTAATTAATACAGTTAAATTACTATCTCCGGCAGTTAAATTACTGTTGGAGACAGTAATTTAGCAGCCAAGACAGTAATATTAATTAAATTATTTTTTTTAACAAAACACAAAATTTTAAAATAAAAATAAAAAAAAGTTAACGCCAGAGACAGTAATATTCTCTCTCAGACAGTTAAATTATTGTCCTCGACAACTAAATTACTGTTGGAGACAGTAATTTAGCAGCCAAGACAGTAATATATATCAAAATATTTCTTTTAAGGAAAAAGAAATTAAAAAAAGAAGGAATTCAACGCGAGAGACTGGCGGTTGACCTGCTGGAAAAAATATTCAGAAAAAAATTTCAAAAAAAAAAATCAACGCTAGAGATCGGCGGTGGCGGGTCAGAATTGTTTTATTTGTGAAATTGGGTTAAATTGGAGTGTAAATCATAAAATTGGAGTTGAAGTAGGGTTTCAAGGAATTGAGGGTAATCTTAGTATTTATAAAAAGAGTTTTCCTTATTTGCAAATAAGTTTGAATGAGTTGGATTTATTTGGATGACAAAAAAGTTGAATGTCTCTTTTTTAATTCAGTGCCCTTATCATGACTCTATTTTTTTTTCTTATAAGAAAGGAAACTTTGAATTAAAAGAAACGAAAATTACAAGTGTCAAACATAGGGTAACCCCATCTACAAAAGATGATAATGGAATAACATTTGAGTCAACATGGCCTTCAAAAGTACAAAAAAAAGCCCATTTGCCTAGATTGTGGGCCGCCTCATTTGTTGATCTAGGGATAAGCTTGAATTTTCATTTGGGCCGAAGGGTGCATAATCTCTTAATCTCATCAATTGGCACTTGTGCAGTCCATTGGGTCGAATGATCATCTTCCAAAATTGCTCGAATTGCATTGATGCAGTCGGATTCAAAAATGGCATTAACGACGTTTGTAAAGTTGATGTTTGCATGAGTCTAAAATTGCCAACACTTCAGCAGCCAGGGGATCATTGCATGCATGGGCCTTAGAAGAGGCAGAAATGATAGAACCGTTTGCATTCCTGATAATGCAGCATTGAGGAAGCTAAGGATGCGTCTAAATTGATCTTTATCCAGTCAAGAGGAGGTTTGCATCATGTTTGAGCCAGTCTAGTTCCCACTTTATGTGCTTTGAGAGTATGGCTTTTATAATATTCTTTTGCACTTCGAGAAATCCTCTTGAGAAGCTCCTGAAGAGAAAAGGATTTCCATAAGCCACTTTGATATGTCTATTGGCCCAACTCAATAGACCCATATTTATTGGAACATATGCCCAGTTTAAAAATTATTACTACGAAAGCCCAATCATCTTCAAATAAGGTTTGTGTCTGATAAATTGATCTCGGCCCAATCAGTGAAGTATAAATAGAACTTAAATTCATTTAATTAAGATCCGCTTTTATTATTCAACCGATTCATCTGCTCGAATTGTTTCTACTATTATCGACTATCCACATGTCTGACTTGAGCGTCGGAGGGGTTTCCGCCGGATCAACCCCCGGCTTAGATTACGTGTTTTCTGTTCGCAAGATTCTTAAGTTAATTAGAGTGTTTCAGGACCATCCAGTTCGTGAGCACGTGACCTACCTTGCTCTCCCAACTCTTTCTAATCCAATACTCCAGGTGATTTAATAATAGCATCATCACACTTTATTCCTATTAAACCAGAGAAGATCATACAAAACAACAGTAAAGATAACAAATTCTTCCTTAGCAGAAGGAGAAGGAAATAATTTGTTCTATCAAGAATAAAACCAAGCCACACAGAGATTGATTCATTTTTAAAAGGATCAATATGAATTAGGGGTGTTCACGGGCGGGTTTACATGAAAAAAGTAACCCGACCCGATATATGCGGACCAAATATGCAAACTGCAACTGCTCTATTAACCTTATTAACTGCACGCGTTCAGGTTTGGCGGGTGGGCGGGTTATCGGGTTATATGAAAGCCAACATAATTCATCCTTTTTCATAAATGTTATCTCTCTAATTTTCACTTTCCCATATTTTTTCCCAATCAATACCTCTCTCTTCCCACTTTCTCGTTTCTCGATACCTTCTCTCTCTCCTTTCACTTCCTACCTTCACTCCTCATTTCTTGTTTTAGTTTCTCTTTTTATGCACCCCATCTCTCTTCATTTTTTGTTCCCTAACTCTCTATTACAGAGATGAAAAAATTGACAATGGTGACATTAGAAATCCTAGATTTAATCAACAATATACCGATCTTTGACATCAACATACACATATATACGGGCGGGTCATGTATAGGCGGGTTTTTAATAATCAAACCTGACACCCGACCCATATCAGTCGGGTTTCCCATTTGCAGAACTGCTAAAAGTATTTTAAAAAAATAAAACATGTGGGTAACGGGCGTGTGGGGTCGGGTTGGGCGGGTCGCTTGGGTATATGTGCACTACGAATGTTCCATTTAGATATGAACCAAAGTTAAGCAAAAGGAAAGAATAAGAACAAGTGAATATTATCTTTAAGAGGGGAGCTATAAAAGTAACATCTAGTGTCAAGGGAGGGAAAAAGACTATTCAGTCTAACTTTAGTAGGGATAAGGTTGTTCAACAATTTTCCAGAAGAGAAGTTTATGTGGATTGTAGCTCTCCTTATTTGCCATTTACCCAAAATAAAATAATTAATAAAAACAACATAAAAAAGAAAATCAAAGCCGAAGACTCGCGGGTAAAAAAAATTAGAAAAAAAAATTAAAAACAAAAATTTAATTTTTTGGTCGCAAAGTAGTCCCCCTTTATACGCAATTCGTCCAAAAATTAAAGTTTACAATTTACATGACAAATTCACAGTGTTTCTAAATATCCATAAAATCAAAAACTCGGGCGAGCCGATTTTTCACATTAGACCCGTTAGCATTCAGTGAGGATCGAGGACACTGTGTGCACATACAGGATTCTAAATTTCTAATATGTTTAATTCATCACTGAAATGAAACTCTCATTTTTCAATCCATGCGTTTCAAACATCTACACACCACCACCTTACGCTCGTTCCATAACAGAACAACAACCCATGCTCAGAGTGCAAAACCTCCGCGTCAGAATATTAGGGACTTCTTCGAACCACCCACCGATCAGTCAAAGCCCAGAAGCAGCAACAGATTTACCGACTCCGACATAGTCAAATGCAACATCGCCATCACCAATCACATGCGCAGCGGCCAATGCGAACAGGCACTGCGCCTGTTCAACTCAATGCCTCGCAGAACTACTGTGTCCTACAACACTATGATTTCTGGGTACTTGTCGAACGGCAGCTTTAAGCTCGCCCAGAAGCTGTTTGATGAAATGTCTCTGAAGGAGTTGGTCACTTGCAATATAATGATCAGCGGGCATATAAGGAACAAGAATCTAGGTGCTGCGAGGAAGCTGTTTGATGAAATGCCTGTGAAGGATGTTGTTTCGTGGAATGCGATGTTGTCCGGTTATGCGCAGAATGGGTTCGTGGATGAGGCGAGGAGAGTTTTCGATTCGATGCCGGTGAAGAATGAGATATCCTGGAATGGGATTCTTTCCGCTTATGTTCAAAATGGGAAGATTGATGAGGCAAGGGCATTGTTTCAGAGTAAAGACCACTGGGCGGTGATTTCTTGGAATTGTTTGATGGGTGGGTACTTAAAGCAGAAGAGATTGGTCGAGGCGAGGCAGATTTTTGACAGCATGCCTGTTAAGGATGAGGTATCGTGGAATACTATGATTACATGCTATGCTCAAAATGGGAAAATGGAAGAAGCAAGAAAGTTATTCGAACAATCTCCAATTCAAGATGTGTTTGCATGGACGGCAATTGTATCGGGTTACATACAAAACGGGCAGTTAGATGAAGCCAGGAGAATTTTCGACGAGATGCCACAGAAGAATATTGTTTCGTGGAATGCAATGATTGCAGGGTACGTACAGAGCAAGAACATGGATTTGGCTGGAGAGCTGTTTGAGGAAATGCCTTGTAGAAATATCAGTTCTTGGAACACAATGATAACTGGTTATGCTCAAAACGAAGATATCGCTCGAGCAAGGAACTTATTTGATAGAATGCCAAATCGGGATTGTATTTCTTGGGCGGCAATCATATCCGGATATGCTCAGATTGGTGATAGTGAGGAGGCATTGCAAATGTTTATCGAAATGAAGAGAGATGGTGAGAGGTTAAATAGGTCTGCATTTACTTGTGTTTTGAGCACGTGTGCTGATATTGCTGCTTTTGAGCTTGGCAAGCAAATACATGGGCATGTTGTTAAAGCAGGTTATGAGTTTGGCTGCTTCGTGGGCAATGCTCTTCTTGCTATGTATTGTAGATGTGGAAGCATCGATGAGGCGCAAGAAGTGTTCAAGAGAATCGAGGATAAGGATGTCGTCTCGTGGAACACAATCATAATTGGTTATGCAAGACATGGTTTTGGAAAAGAAGCCCTCGCACATTTCGAATTGATGAAACAAGCCCGTATTCAACCTGATGAAGTTACCATGGTAAATTTGATTTCTTACTTCAAATATTTCTTTGTTTTTTTCAGAAGATTGGTCTGCAGAGTTTCCACATTTCTATGTATTTATTGAATGCTAATAATGGGTGCTTTATGAATCTGGTGTTTACGGTATTTGGATTTCAATATATTCTATTAATACAAAGAATTACATTATCATTCCATATTTTGCATTGGGCACTATTAAACTCGTATGGAAGTTGAAGGACCAATATTTTACTACAAAATCCTTGATTATTCTTTTCAGATCGTATATTGACTCAAGAGTTATTCTTGAAGGACCAAAGTTACTGAAGTCTATTTTTTCCTTTCTGTTCCATTTTGTTTTTCTTTACTTTTCTTTTTTTATGTGAAAAAAAGAGGAAAATCATCGATGTCCCATGTTTTTTGTATATTCAAATTTCTCCATCCGTTGTTAGATATTTACTTATTGTGCTCGTATTTAAATGTAGGTTGGTGTTCTATCAGCATGTAGCCACACTGGCTTGGTAGACAGGGGAAAACACTACTTTGATTCCATGACCAAAGACTACGGCATAGGACCAAACTCAAAGCACTACACATGCATGATCGATCTCCTCGGCAGAGCGGGCCGCCTAAACGACGCACAAACCCTAATGACGAAAATGCCCTTCGAGCCCGACGCAGCAACATGGGGAGCTCTCCTCGGAGCCAGCAGAATCCACGGAAACACAGCCTTGGGAGAAAAAGCCGCCGAAATGATCTTCGCATTAGAGCCATGGAATTCCGGTATGTACGTACTTCTCTCAAACTTATACGCATCATCCGGAAGATGGTCCGATGCTAATAAATTGAGATTGAAAATGAGGGATAAGGGTGTGAGTAAAGTGCCCGGGTATAGCTGGGTGGAAGTTGGAAACAAGATTCACACTTTTTCGGTGGGTGATTTGAGCCATGCTGACAGTGAGAGAATATATGCGTTTTTGGAGGAGATGGATTTGAGGATGAGAGGGGAAGGTTATGTATCGGCCACGAAGTTGGTTCTGCATGATGTGGAGGAAGAGGAGAAGCAGAATATGCTTAGGTACCATAGCGAGAAATTGGCGGTTGCGTATGGGATTATGGAAGTGCCGAATGGGAGGGCGGTTAGGGTTTTCAAGAACTTGAGGGTTTGTGAGGATTGTCACACGGCGGTCAAGCTTATGGCTAAGATTGTCGGGAGATTGATTATCCTGCGTGACCCGAACCGTTTTCACCATTTCGAGGGAGGTGTGTGTAATTGTGGAGACTATTGGTGATGGCAAAATCACGAGAATGGGTTATGATGGTTCCATCCAAACAAGGCCTGTTTAACAACATTTGTTTCTTCAGGTGAAAATAACTTTTGGGTATGTAATTGTGGGGACTATTGTTTTCATGCACGAAAACAAAGTTCATTTTGACGAAAGTTAATGTTTGTGGCCATTTTTTACTAATTTTTAGAGTAGATATGTTTACATTTCTTACGAAGTTTATTAGATTCGTGGCCATTTTTTTTTTATGTTGTACAATAGTTTTCTTTTTGCCATGTGAAAGAAAAATTCAAATCCATAGTACTAGTAGTAAATAGACATGTACATATTGTCATCATCGCCATCAGCAGACCAAGTAATTTACTATTGTGGTCAATTATCGTCATCATCGCTGCTGCAATTTTCGTGTGAACACCCTCTGCTGGCGGCGATCAATCGCCGCAAATAGCCAACAATCAGTAGCCGCAATTAGTAGCAAGCTATGAACCGCCGGCGGAAGAAGAGACGAAAAGGAGGGGTAGGGATGTGGACACACACTTCATGTGCATGACGAGGAGTTATAACGCGTGGCTGGATTAACTTGAGATCAATGCGTGCAGACACTCAGTTTAAATTTGTTCGGGATATTTACCTGATGACCGGTCGATTGTCGGCGCATTACATTGAAGCCCTCAGAATATATCATAACTACAATCAAACCGACGTAGATATCGATATTTGCAACCTAGCCTACGTCCGCCAAAAGAAAATTGGTCGGTAATTAATTATGTTGAAGCCCTAGATATCAAATGGATGTTGATATTTCGAACTTTTTTGATTCATTTTACGTTTCTTGAAAAAAAATAGCTGATATCTGTATATTTGAAAATGTCTGCATTTTACCAGCTCTAGTTTCATAAAATAATTAAAAAAAAAAAATGGAATGCCTAAATGACTCCTAAAGAAAAAGAAAACAAATAAGAGTATGCCTAATTTTTTTCTCTTTTTGCGTTAATCGATTTTTCTTTCTACAAAAACTAAAAATCCAATTTGTATCAATCCTAAACAGTTTTGTCCAATAATATTTAAAAAAATTAAATTATTTCCCTCTTTCTCATTATTGCCTTTCTTTCTTATTTTTGTTTATTTATAATCAACTCTAGATGATTGGCATACTTTGAGCAAAAATAAATATTTAAAAAAATTAAATTATTTCCCTCTTTCTCATTATTGCCTTTCTTTCTTATTTTTCTTTATTTATAATCTACTCTAGATGATTGGCATACTTCGAGCAAAAATAGTGGATTTTTTGCAAAAATAGGAGTTGAATCCCGAAAAATCTTCCGTGTTCTATATGGCTATCGGCAACAACCTTCTCTAGATCAACTGTCAGCCATGCACCTACTGTCATAGTTGTTCGCCTCGAGGTTAGCGATGTTCCATTGGATATTGATAGAACACAATAAGCCTTTTTATAAAATCTCATACAACAACAATTCTACCCTGCATTTGACTTGGATATAAAGAAATTTGAGTCTCAAGAATGCTTTGCGAGTTATTGAATAATTATTTTTGTAAAAAGTAAGAGAATCGGATGATTATTGTAATGAAAAAGCTTTCTTAGGTTGAATTTGAATAGATCAGTTTTCTCATGTGTTTACATTTTTGCTTGGTTAGTTTATCAATGAAATGATACTTTTATGTATCAATCCACCTCCTAATGAATGATGGAGACTAATTTAATCGTACGGATATAAGATATATTCTAAAACTCAAATACATTAGAGATATTTCTATGGAGTACCTAAAAATTCTACATCTTAATATTTTAAATTTGAAATTTGCATGAATAGATAGGTGGTTTCTTCACTTTTTTTTTACGTACAAATTCAACCTACAAAATAGACTTTAGATAGTATTTTCAAGGGCATATATATCATTTGATTAATATACATTAATGAGGAAAACTTTGTGGATTCATTGTATTAGACTACCACACTACAATTTTAGAATACATTAATGATAAGAAAGAAACTCTACAATTTCAGAAGTTGTATAGAGGAATTGCAAATTAATGTAATCTTTTGTTTGGCATTGAATCCCATAATACTCACAAGTAGACCTGACCATGGTTTGGTTCGGTTCCGGTTCCGGTTCCGATTTTGGAGGAACCGGAACCGAACCGAAAAAATCCGGTTCCTTGCGGTTCGGTTCCTAACCGGTTCCAGTTCCCGGTTAGAATCGTAGAACCGTTCGGTTCTTAATAATTTATTTTTTAAATATATATATATATATATATATATATATATATATATATATATATATATATATATATATATATATAAAATATGTATATATATATATATAACTTAAAAAAAACTTTTAAAAATATTTTTTTTTAAATGTTTATATTAAAAAAAATTAATTTTTTTTTAAATACGTCGATTTTTTCTTAATACTTAAATGTATATATATATATATATATATATATATATATATATATATATATTGAGAGAGAGAGAGAAAGAGAACCAGAAATAAATATATATATATCCACATATATATATATATATATATAT